GCCCCTGCTCCGCTCTTTCCTGCTCAACACCAACATGGTCTTCCAGCCCAGTGTCAAGTCCCTGCTGCAGGTGTGCGATGCATGCATGCATGGGTGCGTCCAGGCTCCATGGTGGGCCAGGCCCGCAGCTGGAGTGGCCCTGGGGGGCTGGGAACAGGCCCACTGTTTCTAGAAAGGAATGTCTGTCTAGCGCTACACAGAGATGTCATGAAGTTGTGCTTTGTAGGTGTTGGGCTCCGTGAAGAATAAGATTGAGAGCTTTGCGGCCTCCCAGGAGGACTTCCCAGCACTGCTCTCCAAAGCCAAGAAGTACCTCATTGCTCGTGGCAAGTTGGACTGGGCTGAGGGCCCTGCAGCAGGACCTGCTCCTCGCCGCTCTGATTCTCTAGGTAAGGCCTACTCTACCGCCCCTCTCCTGAGCCTCCCTACACAGCTAATTAATTAGGTCAAGTGAACACTTATTAAGGGTGAAGCCTTGTGCTGGGAACCGGGAACTGGCAACAAATTGAGTCTTGGTGTTTGTTTTCAGGCTTCTTATCAGGATACAGTTCTGTCCACTAAGAGCCAAATCAGCAGTACCAGCAAGAACTGCTCTAGTAGTTGGGGATAGGCCAGGGGACAGAGTAGTCTCTAGGTTAGATATTGTTACAGCTTTGTAAAGGATGTGCCATTTGACATGGGCTTGATGGTACTCTCTAACCGCTCCATGCACTTTTTTCCTTAAGCCCCACTGACATCTGCTCTCTTGCTCTTGGATTTGGGTAGGAAACGGCATGAACTACCTAGTTGGAGCAGGGGATTTGGAAGGTGGTGGAACAGTTGGCAGTAAGGCTAGAAAGATTGACTAGAACAGAAGGTTCTCAGAGTTGAAGTTTGGCTGGGTAGTTGTGAAGTTTTAGGCTGTGAGAAACCATTGGATGTTCTTAGACCTGGGAGTGGAGAGGTAAGTGTATTAGTTCATGTGCGAGGTGAATTGGAGGTAGGAGGAAATGTATTTAGGATGTGACCTCTAAGGCTTGAATAGTAGAAATAGAAAGGAAGAATTTGATAAGGTGGAAATGGGATGGAAGTAACCCCAGAATTTGGTGAGTGGTTGTGAAGTATAAGAAAGAAGGAACGAGTTATATATGACCATGAAATTTTAAATCTAAATCTTTCATCAACAAATATCTGAGCACTTGCCATATGTGTTATGTATTGTCTTTGATACAGGGGACTCAGGGAGGGACAAGATGAGATCTTGGCCTTCAAAGAGCTAACTGTCTGGAGGGAGAGGAGGGGAGAGAGAGACTAGAGGAATCTCATAACCAGGGGAGCAAGGTCCCAAAGGTGGTGTGATCTAGAGCAGTAGGAAGGATTAACTTTGGATAGGAAAAGGTTTTTTCCTCCTTTGAGGCAAATGAGGGCAATTGAAAGGAGGAAATGATATGTATCAAAGGAGTTGTGAGGTGTGGAAGGGAAAGTTAGGGTATTGAAGTCACCCTTTGTTACTCAAAGTAGGAGCCGAAATAATATGCCAAGACCAAGAGTGCAGATGTCAAATGGGGCTTAAGGATAAAAGTGCATGGAGTGGTTAGAGAGCCTTAGAAGGGTTATTATGCTGCTGTGAAAACCCGGGAAGTTCCTTAGCATGATTTCCTGATGGTCTAGTGCTGTGCATATTTCTTCCTTCCACATTATTAGTACTGTGTTCTCTGTGAAGGGGCCAGTGATACAAAGGTAAATGAGACAGAGTCCAAGCCCTAAGCTCACAGATTAGTGTATGAGGTAGATGACATGTAAGCAAGTTAGTAAGACAGTGTGATTAGGGCAGTGAAATGGGAAATCAGTGGAGGGAAAATCAGAGAGGATTTTTCAGGGAGGTGGAGATAGTGAAATTAGTCCAAGGATGGAAACTGTAGAGAGGGCAGAATTACGGTGGAGAGGGCTACAGAAGCACGGCAAGAGCTTGGAGGGTTCCAGGAAGAGCAGCTAGATGTGGGTGCAAAAGCAGGTCTAGAGAGTTTTGAGAGGAGGTTGGAGGAGTATAGGCCTGGTTGTGTGGTGAAGGGTTCTGAATGCCAACTTTAATAAATCTGTCCAACATCACTCAAAATTAGAGGCAGAGAAAGGGAACCATATCATGATCTAGAGACTAGATGCTTAGAGTTATGTCCTAGATATGGACGTAGATCCACAGCCAGGAATCTAGACAGAATTAGAGTAAAGAAGTCAATATTATAAGTGGCTTATTTGAGTTTAAGCTGACATGAAGCTGTCTGGCCACAACCAGTGGGAAGGTGGCTTTGGCGAATATAGGACTGGTAGAAGGTGAAGTGGCACAGGAGAGCAGATCTTGGATAGATGGTGTAATATGACAGAAATGATAAAGTCACTGAACTATATGATTGCATAGGTAGCATCTGTGGGCATTGAAAGAGAGAGGATGTGGGTCAGGTGAGATAGATGGGGGAAGGTGGAAGTGGTTGACTAGTTCAAGACGGTGATAGGAAGTATGATGTAAAGCCCTGTTATGGACTGAGGAGAAGCAGCTTGGTGATGGTAGAATAGTCATTGGAAAGAGGAGAGTTAAGAGAATCCCTCAGGGTGAAGGGTCATGGAAAAGGAAGGGATCTTGGCTGGGAGTGTAGTGGCTGAAGTGTTAACTGACTGGGAAGACGGAGGATGGTTTGCTGGGTGGGGAGGCTGGATAGAGGGAAGAAGGCTGGGCAGGCAGCATTTTGGTGTTAGTTAGACTCTTAGTTGAGAAGTCCATGCATCTAGGAGGGGTGGGGAAATTTCAGCTCTTAGACTAAGGGAGTTTGCCTGACCTCTGCACCTTCACTCTGTTTATTTGTAGTGAAGAGCCGGAGGCCATCCTTGGGGGAGTTGCTCCTGCGACATGCACACAGTCCAACCCGGGCCCGGCAGGTGGCACAGTTGGTTCATCAACCTGGGAGAGACAGCACAGGACTTGGCCTAGGTGGGGGCTCCCCTGGGGCTTCCACTCCGGTTCTACCTCCCCGGGCCGGGGCCACTGAGCGCCAAGGTGAGGCTCTGCGAGTCAAGAATGCTGTCTACTGTGCAGTCATTTTCCCGGAGTTTCTCAAGGAGTTGGCTGCCATCTCCCAGGCCCATGCTGTCACCTCACCTTTCTTGTTGGATACTTCAGAGGAGGGGAATGTCCCTCCTGTCTCAGGCTTCGGGCCCCTCAATCCTTAACTTCCTTCCATGGACGGACAATCAGGGCCTTGAGTGGCCTGGGTTGGGGCCATGATACAGGCTCCTTTTTATGTTTGGAGGGAGTGGCAAGAGGACTTTTTAATTTATTTCAGATGAATGTTTTATGGCGAACTTGTTGCAATATGTATAAAAGGGAAATCTCTATTCTGTGCTCATTCTTCTTTCCCACCCTTTTTCTCTGGGACTGGTACTCAAAAAGGTTGTACATAGATGGGGAATTGGTCAGGGATATTTTCTTTATGGTGAGAACATTGATACCAAAGTTTCAAGGTACTCCTTATTCCCTTAGAGCAGGGTTGGGGAATGTCTGGCCGGCCCGCAGGCTGTATAAGGACCTCGAAATCACTTGGTTTGGCCCTGACAAGACATTAGGGGTGAGTTAATTAAATGTTTGACCAAATATAGCAGGCTAATTTTTAAGTGGATAATTTTGTATGCCTGCAGGCAATGGTATAAATATCCAAAATGGCCCTTGGCAGAAAAAAGATTCCCCACCCTGCCTTAGAGGGTGAGGGGACATGAAGCCTAGGGAAAATATAGGAATTCTCCACCTTCTCCAGACCCCAAAAGAAAGAATGAGTAGGGGCTCAGGATGGTTTGGGGGAGCAGCAGCTGATGTTTATTGGGGACCAGTATCCTTATGCCAGATATTGGGGGCCTTGCCCCTTGCATCTTTCTCTGCAACTTCAGTCGTCGCTGTCGAACTCCGAGGACAGACCCTGAAGCAGGGGCAGGGACATGGAGTGCCGGTCGGGGTCCCCGGGACCCCCACCCTGGGCTCCTGGTGGGGGGCTGCGGGGGCTGAAGAGCCAGTTCTCTGCCAGGGTTGGGGATAGTCACAGCTTGACTCAATGCCCTGGCCTTTTTGCCTCCCTGGTCCCTCCCTCTGGTTCTCTGTGCTGTGCCCACCCCCACACCAAGACCATGCTTCCACCTCACTGTCCCTTGGCTCCTTCCATTCCCCTTACCAGGGTTACAAGTATCCCATACATTCCTGAGCTATACTCCCTGCACTTTGTCCCATCCCTTTCATTTTTATTTCCCCAGTAGTACCTGATAGCATCTGGGGCCCCCTTCGGAATGGGTTTCGACCCTTGTAGGAGACTCTGGTGAGTCTGCCCTCTGGCCCTTCTTGGGGAGGTGATGTAGATGGGGCTGGGACAGGTGGGGGCACATCAGCAGGTTCAGTGATATTGTCAAGGGCTGATGGGGACGCCAGAGGTGGCATGATGTTGAAGTTGGGTCTGACCCAGTTGGTCCCATGGAGTAGTGGGCCTTTGGTCAGGGCCTTTTGTGGTCCCAGCACTCCCTTGGGCTGCAGTGAAAACTTGAGGCATGAGAAGGCAATAGGCAGTGACCGTTGTAACCGGAGCATCTGGGGCTCATGACCTGTAGGCAGTAACCCCAGCTGCATCCAGGAACAGGAGAAGACCTGGTAGATGACATAGATGCTGTGGGTGCTTCGGAGCCAGGGAAGAGTCTTCTGTAGGCTCACCTGCCCTGGTGGCAGCAACAGAAAGGCCACCTTCTTGCGCAGGCCACCCATATGTAGGTGGATCCGGCAGGGCTGCCCGTCCAAGAGTCGCATTTCTTCATAGGCTAGCTCTGCTCCGCTTTTTGGTAAGTAGTCCCGTGTGCAGTGGGCAAAGGCACCCTCAGACCCTGCCTGCTCCAGGAGGTTTGGTAGTGGTCCCACTGGTTGCAATGCCCGCCGGCCCTGCCGACCTGTCAAAACCAGGCGGCTGTGGCCTGGGCGGTACTGCTTCACTAGGACACCCAGTAGATCATAGAAAGCTGCATCCGATAGGAAAGGTACTGCCACTACATTGGACCCAAAGTGCTCTTCGATAACCTGCAGATAGCCAGTTTATGGGAGCAGGTTAGGATTAGGAGTTACCTGGTAGCTTACTCTAGATTGACCCTCTCCCATTGTCACTATTTGATTACATCTCCACAATGTGCTCAGACTGTCATACTTCCTGCTTACTTCCCACTTCTATCCTGCAGCAAAACCTTGAATGTTTATCATGTGCCAAACTCTGGGGAATACACGAAAGAATGAGACGTTATCCTTGTCCTAATATAGCTCAGTCTAATGACAAAAATGTAAGTAGTAGTCAGCTAAGTAAAATAATAGCAAGATGTGGAGATTAGAAGTTATTTAACAGCCTTTGTCTTTGATAGAAGAGGATCAAAGAAGGTTTCCACGTGATAATACTTGAACTTTGAAGGAATTAGCCAGGTTAAGAGAATGGTCAGTCCAGGCAGAAGGAATAGCTGGTAAGAAACCCTGAGCTTACAAATTAAGGGGCACATTCAGGAACATTTAATTTCATATCGCGTAAATGTAGGGTGTGAGGAGGTACAGGCACAGGAACTGGATTATGAAAGGCCTGTGTGTACACTAAGTGATGGGGACTTTCATCTTGAGGATAGTGGGAAGCCACTTGAAGGGCTCTGGTTAGGGGCAGGATTAGATAGGCATTTTAAAAAGCCAATTTTGAACAGGAAGGCATGAAATGAGGGGAGAGAGAAAAAACAGTTAAGAGTATTAAAATACTCCAGGCAAGACATGGTGAGCCCCTCAACTAAAATAATGGAGAAAGATATCTAGGTTATAGAATTAGGAGAACTTGGTCTCTTAAGGGGTGTGGGAAAGGGAAAACTCAAGGATTATTCTTAGGTGATTGGTTAGATGAGTTATGTCATTTACCAAGAATGGGTGTACAAAAATAGGCTTGGACTATCCTTTCGTACACTATCTCTAGCATCCCTTAAATACGCCTTCTGCCCTAGTGGCAGGGCACAGTTCCTTTAGGGATTTGAAGCTTCATCTTTGTAAATCTAGTTTCAATATGCTTTTAGGGGTTGTAGTTCCTCTTGGTTTTGTCCTTTTTGTCTTGGCTTTTTTTGGGTTTGGTAACCCAGTTATAGAAAGTTTAACTTCATGACCACTAGGAAACCCTGTAAGATCCTCTCCAGTAATTGTAGTTAGGTATGATAACAACTCATCCAGGATATCGATGGCTGAGACTTCTGGCTCAATGTTTTGCTAGGGAGCATACAAAATTCCTTCTTTGGGCCTCTCTCAGGTTAGAGCCGTATTTTTCAAATGCTGTGTGCTCTACTCTTTGTCCCAGCCCTCAAGATCCACATCTGTGCCCCTATTGATGGCATTGGCATTGTCCACTTGGCTGACCTTCCCTTAGAATTCACCAATGGTCCCTTAAGGCTGATCTGCTTTTTGCTATATAGTTTTGTGTTTTTCTTCCCCTCCAGTGCTGCCCCCTAGCATAAGAGGAGGGTAGCTAACTGATGGAATTGTGTGTACTTTGGATAAGCTGAGGTAACTTGAAGATTACTGTCTTTTGCACTTAGCCATGAAGAGGTGAAAGGTAAAGTTCAGGTACTTTAGAAAACTTAACAGATGTGTGAATAACTCCTACTTGCCCAGCTAGAATGTCACTCTCTTTAGGAGTGACCTCCTAAGGCCTGCCCCTGACTTAGCACTTCTCTCTGCTCTCATAGCTCTCTCTACATTCAAGAAACCATTCTTGCTGCTTTCGCAATTGTGATTCAATTGGACAGTTTGTACAGAGCACTTGGTACAGTGCCTGGCCCATAAGCAAACACTGAATAAGTGTTAGTTATTATTATCTTCTGTCTTCCCTCCTCATAAGCTACTCAGACCCACCTAGGTCACACTTTGTTGCTTCCTCTTTAGCCCTCTTACTTTACCTACCTTGTCTTTGATGAGTGTCCATGTGGTATCAGCTTCATCCAGGGTTAGCAGTTGAGGGGTACCAACCAACATGTTGGGATATGGGAAGGGTTAGGCAGGGCAATGGCTGCTGCAGGAACCCCGAGCTGCCCAGAGAGGTGAGGCTTGGCCTCAGGCTCTGACCTACTACAGCATGAGGTCATAGAGGTCCTGCTGGGGGATGGGGTATTGGGTTGGAGAGGGCAGTCACCTTAGCCTCACTGTTCTCACAGTCTGAAGTCTATTCTTTTGAGTCACCTACCTATTCTGCTTTAGAGGAGGAAAATGCAGGTACCATTAGGATTTGTATGTGTGTATGTAGTTCTTTAAGGAAACAGGATCAGGTCTTTCCTCCCTTCAGCAGCCTCCTTCAAACAATTTGATATGCTGTTTTGTTACCTGCAGATAACTTCTTTGTGAGGTTGCATTGGAGTCTTGAAGCACACAGGAGAAGAATAGATCAGGACTTAAACTGAGAATCAAGTAGTGGTTCTCAATCTTGGCCATACTTTGGAATTACCTGAGAGCTTTGAAAATTACTGATGCCTGGCCCTGGCCTGTGTGGTTCAGTTGGTTGGGTGTCATCCTGTGCACTGAAGGATTACTGGTTCGATTCTGGTCAGGGGCACATACCCTGGTTGCGGGCTCGATTCCCATAGGGGCCGTGTGGGAGTCAGTTGATCGATATTTTGCTCTCTTGCATTGATGTTTTTCTCTCCCCCTCTATTCCTCTCTCTCTCAAAAACAAATAAACAAACAAATGTCAATAAAAATTCTGATTTAATTGGTCTGGAGTGTGCTTGGGCATCAGGATTTCTAAAAGCTCTTCAGGCAATTTTAATATGCAGCCCGGGATGAAACCCAGGCTAACAAGTGGGTTCCAATAGCAGTGAAAACCAGGTGTGTGTGTAGGAGAGTGCCATGCTGAATGGTGATAGTGTGAGGGTAAGAATCTAACTGGGGTACTGTTGCCTTAGTAACTGGAGAGAGCTCTCAGGATGTCAGAATTACTCAGGTAAATTTATAGAAATTTTTCTTCATGTTCCACTCCCTGTCCTCGCCTGATTGTTTCTAGTACATACTGTCCTACTACAGCTCTGATCTATGTGTGATTTACCCTTGTGTCTGTTTAGAGATCTCAAACTGCTCTTTTGCTGGAAAAGAAGAGTGGTATTTCCTAAAAAGAAGTACTCTAGAGCAGCAGACTGCTGCTCTAGAGAGTCTTTCTGATAGCTACTTTCCCGCTCTGCCCCTTATCTATCCAAAGAGCTGCCTTGAGTCCTTCTGCAGAGTTTCCTGTGTGCCTAGTAAGACCCCTCATGTAGGGGGTCTTCCCTGTCCTGGCTCAGCATGTAGAGCTATCCCACAGAGTTGGCCATTGTCTGCGCTGGCCCAGGTAGTGTGAGTATGGGGCACAGGAAAGGGTCCTAAGATGGTAGGAGAGTGTTGCCAAGAAAAGTTTCCTAAGGGATGTAACTGGGCAGGTCTCCCTAGGCAGAGCTAAGAATGTGGGTGCCAGGTACTTGAACAAAGGTTTGACAGTGGGCATGAGCCTATGCTTCAGGGGAGGAATTACTATTAAATATTTGTTGAACTCATGTGCTGTGCTATGCACTTTGAGTGCATGATCTTAGAGCAGCGGTTCTCAACCTGTGGGTCGCGACCCCTTTGGTGGTCGAACGACCCTTT